TAAATACTGACGAGAAGCGGGTCAATACTTCTGCAATCATGTCTTTTACGGTTTATATTTGTGATTAAAGGACCTTACTTTGTAAAAATCTGCTTCAACTTTGACATGAAAGAGTATTTTTTGTAAAAAAAAAACAAAAAAACAAGAGAAGCCAGCTGACTGGACCGTGATTCAGTGTTAAAGTGTTGAAGCAGTAAAAGGTGAACGTTTGTCCTCGGCGCTGGATCTGGGGAGAGATGATGGTGTTACGGTAATGTGTGACGGGTGAATCACTACTTAAAAAGACGAGGAAGAGAAGACATCAAAGACAGAACGAGTGACGTTTCTAAAAGCCTCACGGATCAGCAGACACGTCAGTCGTACTGGGATGGGAGTACGGGGATGGAGAGGGAAGACAGACCAACACCGATATGGACACAGAGTGAGTCAACAGCCAGGCGGGCCGGCGGTTCCACGGCGTCGGGTCTCACCTTCCTCCTGCCGTCTGTCACCGTGAGGGGAACCGGCATCGGAGGCCATTTGCTGCGATTGGGAGGCGGCTTCTCGCTGTTCCACAGAATGATGATCTGGAAGACAGGAGGGAGGAAGGTTCATGTGACGCAGATCAGCATCAGATGGAGCTGCTGCTGGCATCCATCAGCCTGCAGGACGGCCAGAGGTCTGATCTCTCTGCTGGAGCTCAGCGCTTTGCTCTTCATTGTGGCCTAAATTTAATCCTAAAGTGGTGAAATTGGCCTTTTTGCACATCAGACTCCACTCAGTAACACTTCAAGACTTTTTGGTTCATTCTAATAAAAATCAACTCCCGGCCGATTCTCTATCTACAGTACATCTAATGGAGCAAAGTTCTACCTTCAGACTGTGAATATTTCCAGTTACAGGTTCTCAGAGTTCACAGGAGTGAGTCGAAAGCTCACGCTTTGTCTATTTGTGGCACTTTTCCCGTCATTTCTGAGCCTCAGCATCAGTACAGGAGACAAACGGAAGATCTTCACGGCTGAAAAACACTCAGAAGAAAACTGGTGCTTACATTTCTCTACATATGCTGAAGTTTGTCATCACGTCTTTGGACACGTGATCTTATTCTAGGATCACAATGATCTGAGTGTGAATACTTTTGCGTTCTGGTTTCGTCTGAGGAGTCACAGAAACACTCAGATTACATTTCTACAATCATTCTGTTCACTTTTCTTGCTTTGTGGCTTCACTTGGTTCTGTTTGAAGTCATTTGTTACCTTCAACAAGTTTTAGATGATTGTGAGTAACTGTATGTCTCGTTTAGTCCTGGACTCTGCGGTTCTTCCTTCCTACAGCTGGAGACCGGATGTCCTCTAGTTTCCCTCAGATGACCACGGATCAGGCTGAACTCCTGCTTACTGATTCTGATCATACTTCCAGCAGCATCACTCCCAACGTCGGACCACTAACGAAGAACACGGAGCGCTCAGCGGGGAACCTGGGAGCTCCTTTTTGATCACAGCCTCAACTGTAATCAGCACGTTAAGACTGTGGTTCAGTTCTGCTCCGACAAGGTCGACCCGACGCTCCCCAAACACACCACTGAACAAATCATCCTCATTTTCCCTTCCTGAGCCGCTGCGACTCCCCGTCCACCGGCCGTAATGATGCAGCAGCTCAGCAGCAAACACCGGACACAGGGAGGACCATTCGTCTGGTTCTGGCTGAACTAACGGACCGGCTTCGTCCTCATACGCTGAATGTGCATTCAGTTTAAGAGTCTCTTCATTACTGTTAAACGGTCTGACTCTGACGTACAGCTCTGAACTTTTAGCGCTTCATTCTGCGCTTCGACTCCTCAGACCAGAGATCCAGCAGCTGGTTCCAGTCCAGCGCTGTGGACCAGCTGGAGCTGACCGGTACATTTACAGAACCTGGACGCCTCGTGTTTATTTACTGACGCTACACGTCGACATGCAGCCGCATCCTGTGAGTCATTTCTGCACATCTCTAAACCATGATCTTATGTTTAGAGATGTGCAGCATCAGGTCCTGTTTTCTGGTTCTGAATAAACCAAATATCTTTAAAGTCTTTACAGGTAAACTTGTACGTTCAACTTTTCCTTCTAGATTTTTAAACGTCATGTCTGCACATCTCCTTTAAAAATGTCTGACTCTGTGAACAGACCTGCTGCTCGATGAACAAGCTTTAAAACCACCACCGTACAGACGTTTGTATGGCATTAGATGTCCTCTCTAATGTTCATTATCACTCTTTTCATCGTCTTTATGAACATTTTATTGTCTTCTTTTCATGTTTTCTTGTTGTTTTTTAATGTTTCGTCGAGCAGCTTGTAGCTCCAGCTGTAGAAAAGGTTTATTATTATGACAGTATGATGCTGCCACCGCCATGCCCGTCATGGAAACAACTTTTTTGACTCAACAAATATAAGAATGTTTTTCCTGATGCTCTCTTGAGTGTTTTAAATGGAGTTCAACAAACTCTAGGCGACTTCCATGTTGCTATTCTGCCATTAAAACGCCTGATTGCTGGTTGTTTGTCCTTTTGGCAGCTTCTCTGATCTTTCTCTACCTTGCTGGGTCCCTGACTGACCCTCTTCTTGCTCAGTTTGTCCAGACCGCCACCGCCCTGATGAGTAAAACTTGTATTTCACGGTAAGCGAGGCCACTGAGCTCCAGGGACGCTCAGCGCTTCAGATCTAGACCTCGCTGCAGCTCCACAGAGTGTTTGTTGGACTCCGTGGTTTGGTTTTTTTGGCCTGATATTGTGGAGCTTTATATGCACAGGTGTGCACCTTTCTAAACTACGTCCAATCCATTCGGTTCGCTCGGTTGGACTCTAATCAAGTTCTGGACACGTCTCAAGGGTAATAAAAAGCAAACAGGATGCACCAGCGCCACAGCAACGGGTCTGGATGCTTCTAAATGAGAGATGTTCACTTCTGACACTTCTGAAAATGGGTAGTTGTGGATTACTGAGTGTAGCATGATGGGAAATAAGCTAATCTGATATATTTAAATGAGGCTCACAGCACTATCAGGTGTGTAAGAAGCAAAGGGTTCAGAATACTGTCTACAACACCCTATAGGTGACTTTGTGATGATGCTGAACCAGAGTTTTCCTCATTTACCTGTGAGCAGTACTTTGACTTGGAGACCACCTGAAGTAGCTTCATGATGGGCTGAGACTGGGAGACCAATGGGGAGACGGCGTGGATGACAGCCGTGAACTCCTGACCAGGACCGACTCCTGAGCAACGTTGGAAAACAAAGACATGCAGGTCAGAGGGAACATCAACCTGGATGTTTACGTGTTTGTCCTGCGAGCACAAACCCGTAAACGTGGATCTGCATCACGCTGGAAAGACAAATGTTTGCTGCTTCTATTAAAACAAACAGGTCTCACAGCACCAGAGCAAACTGGACAGAAACGTTTGATCATGGTGTATGATGCTGCCGCCGCCATGCGCCAGGCGATGAGCAGAACTTGGAGTCCCGTCTGAGGACTTTTTGGATCCTTAAACACAAACTGCACTGATTGTCCAAACTCTCTACAAATATTTACACCATCAGAGCAAATTGAAAACGAATAAAAAGACAACACGCATTTTAGCGGCGCTGCGAGATTAAACCCAGCACAGCCGAGGACTTTGGTAAATATTTGACTACAGTTTGCTGTGATTACACACTGAGGGTGTAAGAGCCGAGCTGAGTGATCGGGGTTTAGATGGCGGCGTGTTTACCTAATCCCAGGTAGTAGAAGGGGAAGTGTGCGAGGTGCGTGGAGTACTCTGGCAGGACCAACAGGCCTCCTGGCAGCGAGTTCCACATGTACTTGTTCCTCGATATGTGAGAAAACACTCGGTCCTTAATGATCTGCAGAGAAAAACAAGGACACATGAGTTACCCAGTTCTGGTATCAGCTGCTCCACACTCAGGTTTTCCCGGCAGATGAGAGTTTTTGCAGCATTATGTAAACTGAGCCGCAGTTCAAGCCCCGACACACCAGTGTTTGCATACTTGGGCGGGCTGTGTTGATGCTCCGTGTACTTCCCGGTGAGCGCCAACAGGAGGTGCAGCAGCAGCAGCAGCAGCAGCAGGCCGGCCTCCACCCGAGGCCTCCGCCGCTGACCTCGGGCTGACTGCACAGCTGTGTTCGCGGGGAGAGGTTCCCCTCTGCATGCTGTATGTATATAAGCAGCTTATCGCAAACCTCCAGAACCTCTCCTTTATTATCTGCAGCATAAATCCCCAACAGCAAACACACCAGAGGCTGCTGCCAGACCCGCGTCTATAAACATCAGATTGCAGAGTCGGCCGCTCGCTGTGTGATTCCTTCAGATTTCGGCGAGGGTTAAATCTGTTGTTTCCCTACATTTTTATGCGCTAAAATTGACATTGGCAGCGTGTGCAAAAGAAAAAAAGAAAAAAGCTGGTAAAAGGAGGCTGTTATTTCTTTTCATGCATCATCTGAGCCTTGGGCCAACCTTCAAATGACTTTCGCTGAGCGGGAGCAGCTACCTTTGAAGTGTGCTTCTTTGCAGCTCGTTCAAAGGCAGAAACAGAAGACGAACACAGAGAGAAGCTCTGAAATCAGGCAAAACAATTCAAGCGCCTCCTCATTTCTTCTGTATATGAAACTTTTTCTGCACCCGTTAAATGAAGAAGTGTGATGGCGGCGAGCGGCGAGGCAGAAACCGGCAGGTTGAGACTGATATGTGCAGAGTAATGATATATCATTTCTATACATCAGGGGATTTCTCAGGTGCATCGGATGTGAGCTGCTTTGAACGAGCGAGCTCAACAGTAAAACGAGTGGAGAGGCAGAGCGCAGGCCGCGATCCAAGCCTGTAATCATCATGATAGAAGGGTGGTTTGATTCAAATGTGAAAACTCTGCTGGAAAGCCCTCCTGAAAGAGGCCTGATGATAGCGAGCAGGCAGTAAAACGCAGCGGCTTCCACACAAAGCCTGTGTTTATAGGAGGGGATTCTTTTTGTGGATGTTTTCACTGGATCGCTGCTGGCGCTGCTCGTCCCCGAATACAGAACCAGCGCCTATTTAGAGTTTTAAACATTTCAGTTTGGTTTGGAGCAGCTTTACAAGCAAATGTTTGTGGGACGTTGACAGATGTTGTGCTGATGGAGTCAAAGGTTCAGACGGAACCCAAGCTGGAGTCTGAAGGTCCAGTGAGCTCTGCTGCAATCAGGACATTTACTGTGTTGAGTTCTCATCAGTTTCTCTGCTCAGGGTTCATCTCTAGTATCTGAACGGAAACATTCTGCAGAATCGGCCTCATGTTGGTGAGTTTCCATGAAGACGACGTGAAACTCTGCACGGACACCAACAACACCAGGAACCAAAAAACAAGAGACAAGACAAAAGAAAGGAGACATGAAACGAACAAAACAAGATGCAACATAAAAAAAACACTGAGACAGAACGACACACGAGACACGAGAGGACGCAAACAAACAACAAAAACAACACGAAATGACACAAAGTAGGAAAAACGAAACACAAAAGGAGGCAAAAAATTACAAACATGAAACAAAACGAAATGAACGAGACACAAAATGAGAGAAATCAGACACGAAACAAACAAACAAACAAACAAACAAACAAACAAACGAGGAACAAAAAGAGACGAAACTGTCTAAAGAAAGACAAACAGAACAAAGACACAAAATAGGACACATGCTGGTCCACAAACTACCGACTCTGCTCATCCAGAACCAACACCTAGAACCTGTGGACTCCAGGTTCTGGTTCCTACCAATGATCCACATAAAAAAAAACAGAACCTTGTCTGGTCCAACTTCACCACATCAGGTTCTACTGATGTTAGAGCCTCAACAGGTGGTGAGATGTGACCAGAGACTGGGTTCTAGTAGAACCATGGATCTATCCATAGATAGACCCTGACAGGAACTTTATGGATCAGCACCAATTGAACTTTTTTTTTCCATTTTCATGACCAGTTATTGGTGGACAGGCTGTTGTAGCTGCAACAGGAGGGTTTGGACACCAGGCTGATACCTGCAGTCAGAAACTATCTATAGATGAATAAAGTACAGTGCTGATGGGTCCATGTCCAGGAGAGGAACCAGACTGCAGAGGACCAAGCTGCTCTAGCGTCTAATCATGCAGACGGGGTTATGTGGCCTCGTCATGCTGAGATGTGTGTTCAGGCTCTGACCTCCAGCGTGGTGAGGACTATCTTGTCCACGGAGGAGAAGTAGGCTTCCCACAACATCTGGGTCCTCTGTCGGAGGGCCAGGACTCTCTCGTTGCCGATGGCCCTGACCGTGGACGGCACCTGGAGACACAAGACAAGGAGAGGTGGTCCCTGTGGTTGGCTTCAGAGCCAGCTGAGAGGCTGGACAGAGAAGAAAGAGCATTTAAGTGATCAGAGAACCTAATCTGCCTTTAAAAACATCTGACACCGAGCTGATCTGGAGCCTGCTGTTTGGATAATTAGACCTTAATTAGTGACGACTAAATTGTGGGTTTCACATGAATCACCGGATCGATTTAATCACTTAGAGGGTTGAGCTGCTCGACACAGAGGAAGGAAAAAGCCGTCTGATACGCCGTCAGTGTTTTACAGCCAGCCTCCATCACAGGAGCTGCACTGGAAAAATAAGTCGGGTTTTAACCATCATTTTTACATTTTATATATATATTTTTAAGCATATTTTCCCCGTTTTAAGTCACAGAGAGCATTAAATAAAATCACTGAAACCAAATAAAAATTTACATGTTGACATCAAAATTACTTATTTTTATAAACTATTATTTGTTCTTTTTTACATTTGATTGTAAAATTATAAGAATTTCTTACTATAATTAAATCAGCACAAAAAGTCCTTATTTTACAGAGTTTTGTAGTTAATTAAAAAGAAAAATAATGTACACAGAGGACTGAAAAAATGGCTTTTGTCCCCCAAATTTTTCCTGTTTTGTGAAAATACAGACGATTAGTTCCTCAACGTATGATTGTAAAAATTACATTTTTTTTTTCAAATTTAAATCAGCAAATAAATTATTTCACAGATATTTGCTGTTATCTGAAAAACAAAACGATGTAAATTAAACACTGCAAAACGGTAAAAAAAAAAAAAGGTAAATCATTTTTAAACTTTTATTTTACAGATTTTTCACATTTGACTTATTTAGTAAAAAAAAAAAAAAAAATTATCAACATGTTGCCTTTAAAGAAATGTAAAAAACACCCACATCAAAAGTCTTGTTTTTATTCCTATTTTTGGTGCGTTTGCATGTGAGCGTTTTGCAGAAACGTCCGGTTCCGTCCTGGTCTGAAGACGTCTGCTCTGTTCTGGAGGTTCTCTGATTCATGACGTCTGTCGGTGGAAGTCGAGGCGGATCGATGCCGGCGAGGCGTGTTTGTGTGACATGAAGGTTGTCGTCGGCTTTACCGCCTCTTTGTGTTTGTTTGCGTGTCGGTGCAACAACGAGACGGAGCCGGATTAAACCCTCTACGGTGTTTAATCTGAGCCGACCCATTCAGCTGGAGGTTCTCCATAAACCCGGTGACGCCGTTTAGACCCGCTGAAGCTTTTTTCTCTCATCACAGAGAGAAAACAGAAAACACCGGCTGGAGATCTTTACAGAAAACATCCGTGTGAGGCGACGCTCCTTGTTTCTGCTCCATACAACATAAAATAGATGAAAATTCTCTTTAAAATGCAGAAGAAACGCAGAAGCCTGGAGGTTCAGACGCACAAATGCAAACTGGTTCTTTGTTTTATATCAAACCTCCGTCTCTCTGTTTAAGACCTGGAATCAACATGAGCCACGTGTTTCCAGATGTGTACAGATGTTACAACACTGAAAATAAAATAAAGTTAAAATGGGGCTCTACACAGCACAGATATTAACTCTGCTCTGTGGACGCACCGCCTGCAGGTTTTATTTTAATGTATTTATTACAGAAGCTGGTTGCAGCCGACTGTTTGTTTCTGTTGAATTTTCAAATGAGGCAAATAGAAAAACGAGATTTTAATAAAATATTCATCTTTAAACTTAGATTTGGTGAATTTTCGCAGCTCGACTTTCTTTTGTTTCCATCTTTGTCTTCACTGTTCTGTGGACTTAATCTATTGTTTTGTGTCCTGGGACACGATTTGCCGACTTCTTAATGTTCTCCACCACGAGTTTCACACCAGTACATCTCAACTGGAATTATCTTTTGTGTCTGGGACACATTTTCCCATCAGACAGAACATACTGGGATGTTTTTGTCGTTGTTTTCTTCCAGTCAGGCATGAACCAGTTTTACTGTTAAGTCCAAACAAACGTGTTCCTCATCAGTTTAAATCCCTAAATGCACATAAAGTTTTATATTTTATCCTCCATTTAGGAGAAACGACTACTTTGAAGAAAGAACTACAACTTCCAGGAGCGTTACAATACAACGTGATTGGACACGCCATGAAATGTGTAGTTCTTCTTGGGGTGCAGAACCTGAGTCCAGAACCTGAGTCCAGATGTGTTTTACCTGCAGCAGCAGCCTCTCGTCTCCTTCGATCACCGCCTGGTTCCACTGGACCACGTCGGAGAACGGCAGCTCCCAGCCGTTGCTGAGCAGCACCGGGATGCAGGCCGCCTGCACAGCAGAACACAACAAACACACGTTAATGCATCAACACGTGAGAAGGTTTAATATTCAGCATCTAAAGAAATGTTGTGGACGACGCTGATGTCGGCAGGTTTCAGCAGGACGGTGGTTCAGCTTCAGCGTCTCTCCAGAGTCGTGACTTTCTGCTGCTTTTAAACAACTGTTCTTCTAAAATATGATCATGTGTTATATCTGCTGAACTGGACCAAAAAACAAAACAACACATAATATTCATCCCGTCTGAAGAGTCGGTCACCCCAACATGAATATTCTAATATTTTGAGATGCTGGATTATGAGCTTTAAACTAAAATTAAACTTGATTTTTGTTTCACTTTACATGAAATTAGCCTAAAATAAAAGAAATGTTCACTTTGTTAAATAACTAGTTTTGTTTTAGTTGTGTTTTTTTGTTTTTTTTACTGTGTGACTAAAATTTTTTAAATCAGCTTAAAAAGTCATTATTTCCCAGATATTTGTTTTTATTTGAAAGAAAACTTTTGTACATTAATGTTGAAAAATAGTGAATAATTTTCTAAACTGTTTTACTGAATTACTTTTATTAACTAGTAAAAATATTAATTCACATATTAACTGAAATTTTAAAAATGGGCTAAAAAACTGTAATAAAACTGTAATAATGACAAGATTTTAAAAATATATACATTTGGTAGAAAATGTGACTAAAATTTAACAGTTTTCATGTATTTAAGTTTTAAAAAATCATTTTTATTTAATCTTTTGTTTGTTTTTTCCACAGATATTTGACATAATTTCACTTTTTTTTTTTTACAGTTTTTATTCTAACAGGGTTCCACTGTGTTCTTTATTTTTCTGGCGTTCTTGCTTCCACATATTTATTTATTTCCATGGATCTACGCTGCAGGTCAACAGGAACACGTTTCTACATCCAGGCGTCGGTAGAAGCTGATTCTTCTCGTGGCTTTTTCCTTCGTGATGTTATTTCACTTCTGGTTCTGGTTCTGTGTGAACCACTCAGCTGCTCGCCAAGGTCCAGTCTGGGTGTTGTTTTTTCTAATTAAGCCTCCAGAGAAC